AATAAGTTAAGGGTAAAATAATTTTTATATTGAATAAGACTATCATACTCCTATTATTGAGTTTGCTAACATGAAGTATAATATTATTGTGGAGTTAAAAGTTATATTATTTTTCTTGTGAAATTTCTTAAAATATTTTAAGATAATATTATTATTTTTTGACTTACCCCTTGATTATTTTGGTAAGTGGTTTAAGATAATTTATATTTTTTTAATGAGTTTTGAATTGTGCTTAATTTTATCACTAGATGTGATATTTGATAAAAGATTCTTAAAATTCAAGTGTTTGAGTTTTCTTTGTGAATCTAAGTTTAACTTAATCTTCATATTTTCTCGAAAGAGAATAAAAATAATTATGTGGTATTTGAAAATTATTGTGCACGTAATTCGCAATATAAATTCAAGTGCTCTTTAGCAATAAAATTATCAATGGATATAGTGAAATTCTAATATAAATTTAAATCTTAATTGGAAAAGTGTGATAAGATGAAATTTATAACAAATTTAAAGGTAATAAAGTCAAATTAAAAATTTGGCGATGATATAATAATTTGTTTATCTTGATATTTTATTTTCTAATTTGAAAATAAAATGACTTTAAATTGATTTGGAAAATACATTTTTATATGGTTTTAAGCAAAATGATAATTTATATCTTTATTGCATTTGATTTGATATAATGGAAAAGTGTATTAGATCATAATAAATATGCTAAGATGATGAAATATTTGGAATTTTTCAATAAATATTTGCAAAATATATGGTATTCCCATATGTAAATTTTTGGTGTTGGAGATATATTTTTAGTTTCTTAAAGTTATGAGAAATAATTTGAATAAGTTGACTTGGTTTTCTTTGGGAAGCCTTTTAAATTTTTTTTAGATATTTTATATTGAATTCTTAATAAATTCAATTATGAAAATTGACACTGTTGTTTTGTACGTGGTATTTCAGATAGTCAAACTTTTATTTGTGGAGATATTTATCTAGTCTTATTTCAAAGAAAGAAAATAAATAAATTTCAGTTTCTGGTTTAGTGGGAGAAATTAATTCATTAGTTTGTGACAGGCTTTTTCATGAGTGTATGAAATCACAAATAAGTAATAAAGAGTGAGTAGAGTATTGTCCCACGAAGATTGTATACCAAATACCAAAATTATGTTAACCTACTATTATTTAAATGATAGAGTATTGTCCCAACGAAGATTGTCTACCAAATACCAAAATTAAATGTAGTATTGTCCCACGAAGATTGTATACCAAATACCAAAATTATGTTAACCTACTATTATTTAAATGACAATAAGAAGAATAATTGTAAAAATAAAAGATATAAATTGAAGCAATGAATAAGAAATCAAGCAAGTAATTGTTGACAAGAAATCAAGGTCTAAAAGCTACTAGAATTTTGACTTCACTTAATTCTATCCAGTTTATTTGATAATCAATTTTAATTATTCAAGAATGAGAAATACCCCTAAATTCGCTAATAAGCTCTTTCGATGTTTTATTAGTTATTTTAACCCACTTCAATTACCCATCTTTCAATCGCACAACCAAATATAGATTAAATCATTAAGTTCTTGTGATTATTCAAGAATTCACAAATTAAGACCTTTAATTTTATGAAAACCCTCCCACGAGTTAAACCATCTAGCTCTCGCACCAACTTGTTATTCCCTTGAAATTTATTACCCTATTCATATCAAAAACCCTTCTCTCAGCAGTGATTAATGAAACAAATCAATACAAGGGAGAAACTCTGCTAGGAAGCATTAGGATCAATTATAAATTTTACTTGAACAAAGAAAATCAAATCTAATATTATAAATTGGAGTTAAATTTAAGCTACATCCCTAGTAAGAAGATTTAGTTCGCCATAGTAAATAAACCAAAATTAAATTTGTAAACAATCCCATAAAGAATAAGTTTAAGAATAAAAACTAGTCAACAATTGGCTTGAATGACTTCCTTGAATCTTGATCTTAAAATTGGGTACTTAAAGTCTTAAAAAGAGAGAAAAACTAAATAGACCAAAGAACAATCGAACAAGAGATGAAATATACAATGAATCCCTCTAGATTATGGCTAGTCTCTCTCTTTATATAGACTTTCTGGAATATCTTCGAATTTGTCTAGGAAAGTGAATCTCTATTGAGGAAGAAAAATCATTTTAAGGTAGAAAACTAATTAGACATTATATTTCTTCAAATTTAGGATTCTTCTAGCGACTTGATAAACTTGATTGGCACATCAGAAAAGCATCTCATGCGGGTACATGCAAGCGGCATGGGCTAGAGTTGACGTTTTCGGCCCAATATGAAGTTAGGCAATCAGCACGGGCGTGCTGTCTAGCACGGTCTGGGCGTGCTAGGCTCTGAGTTTTCAGAGCGGATGCAGCATGGGCCGTGCTCAGGTGAGCACGCTTTTGGATTGACACTTCCTTGTAGCACGGGTGTGCACTTTAACACGGCTTGGGCGTGCTAGCCTCTGAGTCTCTATGGTGTTTTCCCTTGAATTTTGCACAGGGGTGCTGGATTGCATGCCCAGGGCGTGCCCATCTTTGAAATTTTTGTTTTACTTCATTCTTTTTTGAACTTTTGGTTGGTTTCCTATCAAAATGCTACTAAATTTCTCAAAATCAAATCAAATGTGATTTAAGAAAATTTTATTGAAAAACATAAATAAATTAACTGAAATAAAATAAAAATAGATAAAAACTAAATGAAAACCTAAACTAAATGAAAACCTAAATAAAATTTATTAAAAATAACTATAAAAATAAAGCCTATTAATTTGAAAAATAATATTTTGGTGAGAAGGAATATAAATAAGTCAAGCTAAAGTTGTAGTGACTTAAAAAAATTCATAAATTCTCATTGTAATTTGTGAATTGATGTGATCTAAAGTGAGATTATTTGCCACATATCAAAGTATAAAGAGCAGATAAACTTTGAGTTCCATGAGAGAATTTATTATTATACTCTTAGTTCTTTCAAAACTATTGTGTTTTGAGATTATTGATTTATTTGACATATTGTTAAATACTAACTTTGATATGAAAGTTGTGTTTTCCTAGAGGTTGTGAAATATAACAAATATCTAGTGGTATATTATTGAGAATTTTCTCTCAATAGAATAATATTATCTTTTGTCCTCGGTATTGTGACTTTTAATGGGTTATCATGTGGTGAAGTTTATAGAGAACAAGATTATCTAATGAATTTATCATAGTGGGATTGTATTGATATTTCTTATTCTCTATATTGTTAATAATTTGTTGATAGAGACATGCATCAATAATACTAAATTATTTCACTTCAGAAATTTTGGTGTAGAAGATATTGAGTTTTATATATATTTTATATAATATAATAAATGATATATTATAAATATTATAATATATATATATATATATATTATAATATTATATATTATCTTTATATATTATCTTGGGGATTATCATTTACGATGTGTTGGTTTGATTTTCTTAAAGAACCTAAATGAAATTTGTGTTATAATAGGTTCAATAACCATAAATGGTAAAACAAAAATTATTAACCACTTGTATATGCTTATGATTCTAGTGTCATTGAAGATTAAAATTTTCAATTTTCAATTGATATAAAATCTATGTGCTTGGATTTTATCTATAATATAATTAAAATGGGCTATATATCTTATAAGAAAGTGTATAGATAATGTTTATTGCCTCTATAGATTGTGTGAGTTGCTTGAACTAGAGTTTCAAGTAAATTATGTGACTAAAAGGGAAATTGTGTTTTAGAGATATTGTGCTGAATTTTTTTTGTAGACTACTTTTGTGTTATAATCTAAGAATTGTGAAATTCAAATGGTCTTATGCATATGGAATTTAAATACCTCAATGTTGGAGGTTTGGTGATGAAACTGAGACGCAAAAGGTTGAGTACATATTGTTGTTAATTAATAATTGTTAGTGTCTTAACCAACGAACTTATAGCCTTTATAAGATAAGTTGGTAGTATAACCTTTGTGAGCTCTTTTGATATGTTTGATTAGTGGGAGTTAATATTTTTATATCAACATATTATTTGAGCAATTCTATATGCGTTGTTATTATTCATATATGACTATAAATATTGGATGTGTATGGTTCCTTCTTGATAACTATAATTGCAATTTTATATTAATTATATGTGCGCACTAATTGTGGCGCTGCCATAAGATGTGAATAATTGTATTCTTAAGACATTTGTGTTTAAGTCTTAAGTTTCATTTTTAGTCAATATGCGTGTTTCTATTGGTATTTCAGGAAACAAATGGCTTGTAGTGAATTCAACCATTGTGTGTGTGTATTTCCATTTGTGTTTCTGGAAACAAATGGCTTTTGTGGATTTCTCTTATTTATTTTTAAAGCACTTGTGACAAAAGAGAAATTATGGAGGATCGACAATGAAAATAGCAAGTTGATCACATTTCTGTGCTATCTCTTGCTATACTGCCATACTATAATCCATATCAGTTATGTTATCTATATTTGTAATCATGGATTGGTCTTATGTCAATAAAGAGCATAATTACCGCCATGATTCAATATTGATGGCTTAATGTGGCAACATTTTATGGAGGTGTTATTTCTTAAATTGTATGTTTTTTTAAAATTTGTAGCCACATTTGTGTTTTACGATTCAGTCTGAGAGTCGTTTTCAAAATTATTTTCTAAACAAAAAAACCGAGTGGGAGAATGTTAGAAATTTTAATGTGGGCTATTATTAATTGTGGGCTATTTTAGTTTGCGAAAACGGACTGAGCAAATACAGTTTAAGAATGTGTGTAGAGGCCAATTTTTGTTTATATGATCATTTGTCTAATGGACTTGTACACGTCTAGTGGGCCATTATAGTAAGACGGTTAAAAGTGTAGGCCTAATCCTATAAGGACTTGGGATGGAAAGGTCCATAGGATTCTTTATAAATAGTCTAGGTCCCCTCTCTTTCCTTAACCCTAATATTGGCTAGTCCCATTAAAAGCCGCATTGTGAATAAGAAAACGGTGAGGAAGATCTAGTCCCTCTTCAATAAATACTAATTTCATATTTGAGTGTCTTCATTATGGATAAACACAAGACAGCAAGGAATCATGAACTCTACTTTAAATCACAAATCTGGTACGCAAATTGCTTCCGCATTATTAATAGTTGGTGCTCTAAATTTATGTACTAGATCTATTAATTTCTTACAATTTGTTGCACAGTTTATGGAATTTGGATATTCCTGTTTAGGTAAAAGAACTTTTGTGGAGGGCTTTTAATGAAAATTTTATGCATAAAGGTTAATCTTGTTTTATAAGGTATGTAGATAGATGTTTATTGTGCTTTTTGTGGAGGCATGGAAGCTTTGACCATGTCCTTGTTGATTATAATAAGATGAGGCTTGTTTGGAGTATGGATGGTTTTGAAGCTTATCTTACTGATGGATCATTTAAGACTCTTTTTTCCAGGTTAAGAAAAATTTATCTCAAGAGCATTTGAAAATTTGGTTATTTGAATAGGAGAGATTTGGTCATCACGTAATATGCTTATATGGCAAGCATTATACAATTAGTTACGTAGATGTATCATTCAGTTCTTAATGATCTACTAGAATGACAGTGTTGCTCTGTGTTGTCTCGACAAGCCATGCATTGACCTACAACTTCTCCTTTGTTTTGACCTGCTGTGCACACAATATGTAATGATTTTGTTGATGGTGCAATTTTCCCTCACCTTGGTTATGCTAGTTTCGGTGTTGTTGCAGAAGATTTAGACGACAATTTCCTTTTTACCGGACAGTTTATAGCTTCATGTGATGCTTCTTTGGTTGAAGCAATAGCGCTTCAATCTTGTTTACAGTGGATTGAGTCTCATTTATTTGATCCAGTTGTGTTTTTATTGACTCCTAAATTATTGTTCATGCTTTGTGTTCTTTGATGGATGATAAATCAGAAATTTGAATTATTATAATGGATTGTAAGACTGACTTAAATCCTAGGATTGATATCTCTCTCAGATGGGTTAAGAGGCAATTTAATATGATAAGTCATCATATTATTATGATCACCTCCGATTTCGTAATATAATCCTAAATTGCATTTCTTCTTTTTTTTTTTTTTTTTTTATGCATTTTCATTATAAAAAAAAAACACTATAAGAAGAAAGTCTTGTATTTCTTTTTCCATTTTTGATCATTGGTTACATAATTATCTATAGACACCTATTAATTATAATAGTGGACATTAAAAAAAAGTAAAAATATAAAATAAAAATATTAATTTAATATAATTTTACAATTATATGCATCATTTAATACGGAAAAATTAGGAAAACTTTAATCTAATAACACGGGGAGAACGAGAGAATAAATAACCGACCTATTATTTTTAGTAAAAGAACAAAAAAAAATTTTACAATGGCTGAAAAAGGTTGAAGGGTCAAGATCAAGCGAAGAACACCACAACGCCTAATCCAATAGAAGCGCCCCAACAAAGCAAGTCCATTGATCAGAAACCGTACAGTCACTTCCACTAATTTTTTTATATTCCAAAGTGGCGTCTGTTGTTTTTAACCTTTGACGTAGCTTAAACGGCTTCCAGAAGTTTTTCATTTTTTAAAGGAAATTGTTTTATTTAACGCGTTAATTACAGGGAGAAACATCATTTGTTTGGTAGAAAAGAAAAGAAAATTAAAAAAGAAAAAACAAAAAAGAGAGAAGGTGGGTGGAATCTTCAGGCTCTGTAATTAACACCTAGCCAGCCAAGAATCCTCCTTGCCTTCTCTCTCTCTCATTATTTATTGTTTCTTTACTTTTTGGGTTTATATATACAATTTTCCACCAATTTTGATTCCATTTTTGTCTCAATTTTCCTTTCCTTTCCTTCTCCATCTCTAATAATTTAAAAATCCATAGATTCCTTTCTTTTCTTTTGATTTCCTTCCCTCTTTTCTTTCGCTTTCCTTTTCCTTCTCCATCCTCTTTATTTTTCTCTTTCCTTTACAACACACACAATCATCATTCAAATTTCATTTCTCCATTTCTGAAAATCAAATCCTCTTGATCAGCGCATCTCAAATCAGGTAAAAATAATTAAAATTTTTTGTTTTTAAGATAATTTTGTGATTTCTTCAAGGAAAAAAAAAATTTCCCTTTTGAACCTGTGGAAAACATCTCTTATGTGATGAATGGAATTAAATTTTAAATCTTTGTTTTAAAGCTAATGTTGTGATTTCTGGGTGTTTTGGTTGGATTTGAGTCGAATATCCCTTTGTTTGAAGCTGACTTTTTTGATCTGTGTGGGGCTTGTTAGATTTGAAAGGAATTGAAGGAAGAGAAATGGCGGAGGAGCACAGATGCCAAGCACCTCGTCTCTGCGTAAACAACTGCGGATTCTTTGGAAGTCCGGCGACTCAAAATCTTTGCTCCAAATGTTATCGCGATCTTCAGCTCAAAGAGCAGCAGTCCTCTAACGCCAAGCTTGTCTGGAACCAAACCCTAACCTCCGCCTCATCGCCGTCATCGTCTTCTTCCGCATCATCGACTGCTTCTGCTTTTATTTCTATTTCGTCTCCGGTGACCGTCGATCTGCCTGAAGTAAGCAGTAATCAGCCATCAGCGGCGGCGGTGGAAGATAAGGACGAGACACCGGTCGTGCGGCCAAACAGGTGCTCGACGTGCAGGAAGCGCGTGGGGCTCACGGGATTTAAGTGCAGGTGCGAGATGATGTTTTGCGGGACGCACAGGTATCCGGAACGGCATAATTGTACCTTTGATTTCAAGGCTATGGGCAAGGAGCAGATTGCTAAGGCCAATCCTCTTGTCAAGGCAGAGAAACTTGAAAAAATATGAGTTTTAGACGAAAAGAAAGGTTGATTTTATGTTTGCTGTATGATTTGGGATTTAGGGGTTTGATCTTGTCCGGCCGGCCGGCCGGCGGTGGGTTGGTTGTTGGAATATAATTATGTGGTGTATGTAAATTCACCGATGATTCTAATTCTTTTTTTTTTTTCTTTTAAAATATATTAATATTTGCTGTTATGTTTGTGATTGGTGGGGCTGGGGCTCGGTAATTTAAATTTATTACCATGAGGCATGGCCCACGGATTAAAATTTTTAAAATGTTAGAATCTGCGATGACATTTGAACCATCAGTTCTAATTTAGTTTCCATTTCGATCAGTTTTGATTTGGTTCAGATAAATTGATGGTTTCGATCATGATTTTAGGTGATATATATATAAATTAATTTTAATATTATATATTTCTTTTGAAAATATTAATACAAATTTAAAAAATATTGATAAATTTTATTTTAAATAAATTTTAGAATGTTTATATTCATATAAAAATAAAATTAATTAAAATTATAAGAAAATTTTGAAAAATAATTTAAAAGAATATAATTTTAAATTTAATAAACAATTTAAAAGGATAAAGAAAGTTAAAAACAATGTTAGTATAGATTAATATCTCTCTTTTTTTAAGATTTTATTTTTTTGATTTTTAACTTTTAAAGTAAAGATATTAAGTACAATATATCATGTAGTAAAATAGTATCGAGATTTTTAGAGATATATAAAATAGGTTAAGTGATTATTATTTTACAAATAAAAATAGAAAATTTTTGGATCGAACCGGATCGAAATCGCCGGTTCAGGTTCAGATTTTAACATTTATATGAATCTTAATTGACCCTTGAAATGCTGATTTCGATTTAAAATTTTAAACCGACGGTTTCAGTCCGGTTTTGATTCATCTATAATACGGTTCTATTTCGGTTTAGTCCCAGTTCAAAATGAATCGGTGGCCATGCTTAATTACCATGGACTTTATCATCCTACAGGCTAATAGGCTACGCCTGTTTTTCAGAAATTATATTTACCTTCTTCGTCCATTTTTATTTTGAGCAAAAACTACCATTTAGTTTCCGAGCTTTCACCTAATTTACTATTTCATCTTCCTATTTTGGACCTAATTTACTATTTCTGTCTTTCTATTTTGGTAAATCTTACAAATAATTCCTGTGGATTAATTCTTCCATACGAAAAAGTGGGGCTTCCCGCCTAATCACTTATATAAATACTTATCCATCGGGAGTGAAATGGAATGACTGGATTCCTTCTTTCTTAATTAGATGTTTCGAGTTCTGGGTATGAGTTTTTTTAAATACTTAAGAGGGAGTGTTGGACTTGTTTGGTGTAAAGTCGGATTAATCGGGCCAATAAATTTTAGACAATTAAATAAATATTTATCACATTTGAAATTTGATGTCCCTCAAGACAATAAATTAAATTAATTATATTATCTGTCATTAAATATATCTAAACACTAAATTTTAAAGAATTAAAACAATAATTATTGGTCATAAATTACAGATGTGATAAGCATTTTGAAATATTATATTTTCTCAAATATAACAAGATTTAGGAAACCGGTCGAATGAAAACCAAAATGAAAAGAAAATATGATGACTAAATTAACGACAATTTTTGTTGGGTTTCTCTTTCTTTATTGTCATTTGCAGTGTCTTTCTCTCAATTACTTTTTTCACCATTTTTCTTTTAATAAGCGAGAATGCAAAGACAAATCAAGCAAACAACCTTCTTTTTGATTTACAATAAGCAAATTAAGGTTTCATTGATGGAGGTTGGCTAGTGATGATGAGCAGTAATGACAATGAAGCTTTGGCGTTGATAGGTCTTCTTCTCTCACACTCCCTTTTCCCTCTATCTTTGTCCATTTCCTTCTCCCTCTTTGTCCACAAAAGGCTTTGGTGATAGATTTGATTTCTAGTAATTTGAAGGACTAATTTTTGGATATTTTATTTAATTAGTAAGTAGAAATATCTCAGAAAATCAATTTAATTTGGATTTATCTTTTAGGTGCTTTTTTTTTTTTTTATCTATCTAAGTTGAATAAGGATAATATTTGCTTTAGGTTCGATGTTTATATTGTACGAGGAAAAGAAAAAAAAAAAATCTTTTTTAAAACAAGGGATTGAGTAGTGAATTAGGTCAAATTCAAAGGACTAATTATTAGTTTTTCCTTATTTTGATTTACAATATATTTAGAATGACGAAAAATATAAAGGAAGGAAAATTAAAAGGAAAGTATGATAAAGTTTCTTTCACTCACTTGTTTGGGAATGAAGAAAATATTGTAGGAGCAAAAATCTGAAGATAAAATAAATTACAGGACTCATATGTCATTTTCTCTTCAGTTTGAGATGAAAGTTAAAGAAAAATAATTCAATAAATTTTATTGGTGATTTCTAAATTTAGGAGTACGCACTTGATTGTGTATAGACTTTAATTGTAATTTAAAAAATATCCGACTTCAATTTGGTAGTAATGGTAAAAAAAACCTTTGTTTTGATTGACTTTTATCACCAGAATGCCATGTGGCATAACATGTGGATTTTTTATTCAACTCAAATTTTTTACAATAAAAAAACAATAAAGATGTTTGGCCATAACAAAAATCAACAAGAATTTTGGCTTATTCTTGAATTTATTAGGCGGTAAATGGTGCACTATAGGAGGGAAAAAAAAACAATGATTTTATGTTGATTATTAATATTGATCTCCTAACCTTTGTTTATCTATTAAATTACCTTATCACCAGGCTACTTAACATTCTTATATAAGAAATAAGTAAAAGATATATATACTTGCAACAATAATAATTTATAAACGTTTATTAATGAATAAAATATTATTGAATAGTAATATAATCTTATTCATAAGTAAAATTTTAATAAAATTGCGTACATTAAATTATAATATCTTAATAAATTGAATTTAATTTTTTTTTCATAAAATATATTAAACAAAATTATATATATAGTATTCATGTCATGTTTTAGTAATTTAAGTGAATATTTTATAGTTTGGCAATTATGAAATTTATGAAAAATAAAAAAGTTATTAATTGAATAGAAATGGAAAATAAAAAAAAGTTATTAATTTGAAGTAGAATGCTAATAATGTTTTAATTAAAAAATTTTAAGCTACTTATTGACATCACTCAGTAACTTCTATATAATAATTAATAATTAATCTCAATTTAAAATACTGGACTCATGTGGATATAAAACTAGATAGACTTTTGTAATAGAACATGACATCATATAAGAATATCACTAATAACTTTAAAAAATAAATTAAATTGGACCTTAGTTAAATGTTATTATTTAGTATCATCATATATATTAGTATACTTATACTTAGAAGTCTAGTGTATATAGATTAAGGATTACATAAACCATAATTAATTATAACTTACTAAGTATATTTTCTAATAAAAAAATATTAAATTTAATACCTTTCATAATATTTTGTTAATACACTTAATATAATATTGAAATATAATTATAGTCTTTTAATTAATAATTAGTTCTTTTCCTTCTTTTATATCTTTCCACGTCACATACAGCAACCCTAAGCGCGGTTTCTCACCATCTTGCATCTAACATTGTTCATTTATTGGTGTGGGTTTTAATTATTTGACGAGAAGAAATGGCAAATGGAGAAGATATTATAATTTAATATACGTAATTTTATTAAAATTTTACTTATGAATAAGATTATTTTACTATCTAATAATATTTTATTCATTAATAAGCATTTATAAATTATTGTAGTTGTTAGTATATATATCTTTTACTTATTTCTCACATAAGAATGTTAAGTAGCTTGGTGGTAAGATAATTTGATGGATAAACAAATGTAATGGGTTTAATACTATTAATCAATATAAATTCACTGTTCTTTTTTCCTCCTATAGTGCACCATTTCCCACTCAAATTCATTGTAATCAGGTTCTTGTTAATTCTTATTGTGCCAAGCTCAGCATAAGCCATTTAGCATTGCTCTAAAAAAAAAAAAAAAAAAAAAAAAAATTCTCCATGTTGGCATTTTCTCTCTTACCTTTTCTTCTTCTTCTTTTTTTTTTTATTATCTCTCTCTTTCCCTCTTCATCCCTCCATAGATAAGAATTCATAGAGAAATCGCCTTCATCTCCTTCATTTGAAAAATCAATATCCAAACTCATCAACACATTCCTCCTATCAAATCTATATCCATAACTATAACACCCCAAAATTTTCGAATTTTAAAATAATATTATTTTATCGGGTCATGAAGGGTGCTGTAGAGAGGAGATAATATTTTATTTAGACCTAAGGAATATATTGAGTATAATTAACTATGGATAGATAGTGATTTACCGGTCTATGAATAGTACCACCGGTCTGTGAATAGTACTATCGGTCCGAAAATCGGTATTATTTTGGTCCGGAAAAATTACTATATATGTTTTATATTTATATTTTCTTTAATAATTATTTGAAGTATCGTATGCAAATGACTTTTTCATGATGGTAGAAAGTAATTAATTAATATTTTTGAAATTTAGATCAATAGTGATATAATTAAGGAAATTTGAGGAATTATTTTTATGGAGTAAATTTAAGAATTTTGTGGAGATAAATAATATTTTGAAGGAAGTTAATTGGAGAATATTTTAGCCATTAGATTAGATTACCATTGACTTAATCTTAACCACCCAATTATAGTAAAGGACTAAAAAGCGCTTTGTTGCTCTAGATAAGTCAACCTTCAACAATTGAGCAATAACTTTCTCTTTACTTCTTCTTCATCTTCTCCTTATTTTTCTTCAATTCCTACTTGCCAAACAACTCAATTTCACTCCATTAAACTTGATTTAAATAATTAATCTTAGAGAATTAAGCTTGAGAAGTGATTTGTGATGATTATTTTCAAAAAATTTGAAGATTCGCTATTTAGGCCAAAGGTTGGGGAAACCTCTACCATGGAACAAAGGCAAAGTTAGAGCTTAGAAAGCTTTAATTTAAGCTTGCTAAAGCTTATTTTTAAGGTTAGTAGTGTTTATAAACCACACTTACCTTATTTAATTTTGATTTGTGTATTATGCTATCATAGTGTTTATAAACACACTTACCTTACTTTAATTTTTGATTTTGTGTATTTATGCTATCATGTATATATTTTGGGATTTTGTATGAAATGATTATCTATTGGAAAAGTATTACTCGCTAAACTTGTGAATACTCAATTACTTTCAATTCATAATCTAATTTTATGATTTATATGTTAAGTTAAGACAGTGTCTTCGACACCGAATGTGGCATCCGCAGTCGGGTCTCACAGGACTGAGCGCAGGGTGTTACAATAATGAACCAATCCTTTGGTAAGTATATTTCTAGAAAAGCTCCAATTTTGGTATGATTTTGGAGAGAGAAAAGATATAGAATTGAGATTAGTTAAAAAAAAAAAAAGATGCAGATGAACAATTGGGATCTTCCAGGAGTTCAACAACCCTAAACCCATTTAATAAAAGTACAAGCTTTCTCTTCTTATTCTTCGTCTTAACAAATTAATAAAAAAAAAAATTAACTAAAAAAAATATTGCAAATAAAAATTGACTTAGCTCCAACAAAAATGATAAAATTGAATCTTATTTAGAGCATATTTATGCGCTTTCACTCTATCTCCGATCTCGATAACTACTACCAACTCCTCAATTCTACATGATTCCATTCTCTCTGAGTTTCAAAGCCACAAACCCTTTACACAAATTGATGGCTTCACTATTTTCATCGATATATGAATGGTAGATAAGGGTTTCGATTGAGGTAGCGCCAGAGCTAGGACCTTCTAGTTAAGAGGAAACTCATCTATAATATATTTTAAGGAGATTCACAGATTATAAATATAACAATTTAAAGGATTCACTTTATAAATATATTATTAGTTGCTTATAAAAATTTTTCAAATCAGGGCTGCTTGTGCACCCCTCAATTGTATATGTCTCTGCCACTGGATTGAGGGTATAGATCTAGGGAAATCAAAGGAATCAAAATCAGTTAGAGATTCTAGTCCTTAAGAGTAAGATTGAGATTGAATTTGTAGCGAATGAAAAAGATGAAGGCAGATGAAATCAACGCCTTACGATTAAGGAGCAACGCGGTTTAGATAGATATTGGAAGCAAGGAAGAGAATTTTATGGGAAGTTGTAGGAGGATATCAATTTATTACATTATGATGGATTTTGGATATTTTTCTTTCTGGGGTGTTTGGATGAGAGAAAAATGGAAAGGAAAGGATTAAATGAAAATAAATGGATTAGGTTTTTTCTTGGAGTGGAGGAATTGACAGGTAGTGGGATGAATTTGAAGATATTTTTAGATAATAACATCTATAAATATTAAATCATAACAGAAAGGAGATTATGAGTCCATCAAATAGTTAGATTATATACAATATTACTTGGTTAGACGTTATTATGAACAATCCAACTTATGTTACCATCAAGAAAAAGAAGAAGAGATAAAAAAAAAAAAGAGAGAGAATTTTCTTTATTGTGTTAATTTAATTGAAGTAAACAAGTCAAATTGGAGGAGAGAGAATTTTTTTAATTAGTGAAAATTTGAGTCAGCTAAAAAAATCCACGTGACTACATGGCATTCTAGTGATCAAAAGTCAATTAAAATGGCAAAAATGTCTTTTAAGATCCTGTTTGGCAACAACTTTTCACATAATGTTTTACTTTTTGACTAAGGTCACTTCTATCATTTATATTGATCGGCGATATAATGTTTATAATAATATTTAGTATTTGAGGAAGCAAATTATGAAACGCTACTCTTTTAACATTTCATCAAATGCTATTTAAACAATCAATTGCTACTAAGACAACTAATAAAGCTACTAAGACAGTTAACAGCTACTAAAACAACTAATTTTGTTGAACAAGCCCTAAATTAAAATTGGAGCATTTTTAAGTTACAAATTGAAGTATGTGCATAATTAAGTGCGTACCCTCTAAATTCAGAGACCGCCAGTGAGATTAACACAAAACAATTATAATTATAATTTTACCTCCACTTACTATACTTTTAAACTCATTCATAAGCATAGTACCTCATTTTCCTTCAAATATCCAAATATCAAGAGATATATGGAAAACCCTTTCATATCTTCTCTCTTTATTTTTCTTCAATATTTTATTTTCCCCTTAAATTGCTACCCAAATGCACTCTTATTGTTATTTTAGAGTTTATTTTATTTGAAATTATTTGTAGTATTACTTAGTTTTTTCTAATTTTATCGATTCGGGACCTCAAGGATTGTATCTTACACCTAAAATCAAATTTGATGTACAAACCGTATATCCTAAATTAGAAATTTCTTCTTGGATGATATAAAGGCATTGTGAATGCATTACAAAGAAATGATCAAGGTATTATGAATGCATTACAAAGAAATGATCAAGGTATTATGAATGCAGTGGCACCAGTTAAAATCTCAAAATAGAGACCATAACAAAGGAGAGATGACGGTTGAGATTCTTTGATAGTTAAAGTTTTTTCATTTTGTGAAAAACAAACTATTATCATTCCAATAATAGAAGACATTTTTGTAATTCTAGAAAAATTATTATGCAAGGCTCCAAAAGTTACACATATATATTATTATCAAGTTGAATTATTTTATTCAGTATTAGATTTACAACTTCAAGAACTCAATAGTTGTATTATAGAAAGTAATACATAGTTGCTTTTATGTGTTGCATGCATGAGTTCTGCTGATACATGTTCAACTTTCAATAAGGAGAAATTAATTTGCCTTGCTGTTTTTCATCTATTGAAGTTTTCTACTATAGAACTTATGACTCTTGATAATTAACTTGAAACTTATATCATGGATGTGCAAACTAGTGATGATTTTCTAGATGTTAAAGGAGTTAGTGATCTTGCTAAGTTGCTTGAGACCAAAAAAAAAAAAAAAAAAATTGAGACCAAAAAAAAAAAAAAAAAAAATCTCATTTATCATCTAGTCTACTTGCTTATTAAATTAGCACTAACTTTGCCAGTTGCAACTGCAAGTGTGAAAATGACATTTCTCTCAATAAAAATTGTGAAAAATCGGTTACGTAATATAATTGGTAACCAATTGATGAATTATTGCCTAGTTACTTACATCAAAAGAATGTATTTGATAGTATATATAATTAAATGATTATTCAATGCTTTTAAAATATGAAAACTCATCGAGGACAATTGTAACACACACACACACACATATATATATTGACCCCACTAGCCAAAGTTTCTAGTGATATAGAGGTCTAATGATCAAGATCAGTCTCCATTAGGAAGTTTCTGGTCTAAGGTCTCCCTAAGAGGGAGTGCCTACGCCCTTTTTTAAATTCATTGTTGTTTGAAATTCAAATTTAAACCGGTTTGGGTTGGTTTTCTCACAAAAAGTTTAGCTTTTAGTTTACATGGATAAACTAAAATTTTATTTTTGAATTTGATCTCGGTTTTGTATGAAATTCAAGAAAAAAAAGGCTTAAAAATGTACTAATCTAAAAAACTTAAAAATGTACTAATCTAAAAAAAAAAAACTTGCAAAACTGATTGAATCAGTTTGATTCTATATACCTACAAAATTAGTTTACTTTGGTTTGCTTTTAAATTAAACTGACCGTGTGTGCACATACATATTTAATTTAAGTTCAAGAATTATCCCTTATTTTGTTAAGTAAAACCACTTAATTAAAGATTATGAAGTGTACGATGTATAATGATTTTCTTACTTGTTTAAACATGTAAAAAATTAAAATTAAAATTTATTCATAAGTACTATGAAATATAAAATATAATTCAATATGGTATAAATAAATTTTATATAATTTATTATAAAATTCATTTTTTATATTTAATATAAGTAAAAGTTAATTATAATTCAGTTTTAGATTTAATTAAACTGGTTATATTTGAATTAAATTTAATCACAAGTGATAAAATTTGTAAAACAAATTTTAAATGTAACAACGATATACAAATTATTAAAATTAATAATGTTAAATGTAAATTAAAGAATCATACAAATTATTAAAATTAATAATGTTAAATGTAAATTAAAGAATCATAGATAAATTTAAAGTTGATTAATATATATAACTTTTTTTTTCATCTATTTATAAACATGTACAAAATTAATTTTAGTCCTAATAGAACTACTAACCTAAAATAATTTAGGTTGCTTGACTTTTTTTTTTACTCCCTTGTTCTTTTTATATAAAGATAACTGAATTTGTATAGGGATTAAGATGGTAGTTTAACTGAATAATTTTCTCTATTTATGTTTATTTTACCCCTAAAAAAAATTAAATAAGCTTTTTAATTGATAGAGAGCCAACTCATGTAGATAGACTCCTAAAGAATCATTAATTAAAAGATTTCAGCCAAAAAATGGAGGAAATTGTGAGCTAATGGCATTAATTTATTCTTTTTCAAACTTTTCCAAATTAACATTTCACATTTGAAATTTTGAATTTCCCTCATTTTCTAAAGTCTTAATCAATTTCAATTCAATGCGCGCAAATATAATGAAAATGTGGAGCCAAAATCTTTGATACTTTCACTGTTTCCTTAACTTCTACAATATGCACTTATATAAATTTAGAACAAAACATGAACATGTAATTACATTCACAAGCTTTTCAAACTAAGGGCAATAGAAAGAGGGGAACAATATTTCTTACATAACGAGTAATCTATTTTCATTTGATCTCAATGAAGTTCCATTAAATTCGCCCATTCAAGATATGTACAACTTTTCATCTACCATGTTTGAACTCCTTATCTATTGTAGAAGAAAGCATTGTGGTGGTTCCTAAAATGAGTCATATCGAAAATGTTGTTTCAGGCAATGATAAAAGAAAAAACAAAAAGAAAAAACAAAAAGAAAAATATATCAAATCATGTAAAGAACTCTATAAGCACTATGTTTTTTTCTGAATTGCAACAAGGTAATCTAAATACGCACAAGTATAAAAAAGCAGCGCCCACATTTAGCATATCTTTGAATTTAGTTGATAAAATTTGGCGAAATACCAAGATTCATCCAGAGAATAATATTTCTCTTATGAAAGGTCCATGGAACAGGGGAAAAAAAGAGTTCAAATCCTAGCACATAGGATAATAGAAATCTCACTTAGAGATGTTTTGATGATGAATCATCCCTCTCTGTCGCTATTTTTTCTTTTTTGGAATGAGTATTGATCTTCTTGCTCTTGGAAGTAACCCAACGGTTTTAAAACGAATAGATTTTGAGCAAGTTTGGGAGGATGGTTTGTAAGTGATGCCTTTCTACAAGAGTACAAGTAATTTATTTTCACTAAAGGAGAATATACAACTAATTCACAATTAGCGCTGCTGTTTTTTTTTTATTTTGTATAATTTATTCAAAATATGAGTATGAAATTTTCATCAATGCTCAGTTAAATTATAAAATTACTTCAAGTAATTCGAAGTTAATGAAATTCTTGCACATACTTACAAGGTGTTTATTTTTATATATATTAACCATAGAAAATAATTATACATTGACTTGAAAATAAAAACTCTTAGATCCATCCACTTATTTTAATATGTTCGTTTAATCTTAACCGCATTTATCTTTTTAAGCTATTCTTTTTTTTTTTTTTTTAGTATTGGCGAGATGATTTGAACATAAATCTATTGTTAGGTTAGTATATGTAATTCGTACTAGACTATGTTTTTGTGTACTTTTCAAACTAAATTTAGAATAAGGAGAAACATATTAAAAATATACAAGATAATGAGCTACCTTATTTGCATCCAATAAACATGAGAAATAAAGAAAGAAGGTTAGCATTTGACGAATCTAGTCAATTTGATGAATATTTTTAACTGATTTTTTTTTATTTAACCAAATTTAATCAAACTAATTTTTTTAACCGAACTTAACCGAACCGTTTTGGCCAAATTAGTTTTGATAATTAACCGAACTGAAGTTAAAGAAAATGAAAACTTAATTAACCAATCGAATTTAACCGAAATTTATTATTAATCGACTTTAATCGAAATAATTATTAACCGAACTTATTAATAACTACTTAATCAAAATAATATTTTTAAAAATTAATTTTATTATCTACTTAATCAAAACGACGTAGTTTTGAGAGTTGGTTAATTTGATTAATTCGGTTAAATTAACTTTCAATTGAACTTTTAACCGATAACTAAAAATTTAATTTTTTTTAATCGTATATTTATTCACCGAACCAAATTGACCCAATTAATCGAATTGACTGAATTGACCGAACCGAATATTCACCCCTAGAAAGAAGAGCATTGGCTAGCTAATAATAGACACTTCAGAATTCTAGTACCTAGTACATTACGAGTAACAAACTGATTATTCAAATTATTAACCAGCACCAGGTAGTCCTATCCCAAACACAAAGAAAATAAAATCCAGCTCCAGCAATGGCAAAATGGGCAGCCTCATTTTTAAAATAACGAAAAATAATTATTTCTTCGTTGACATGTAACTAAATTAATCAATCCATCTATACTATTTGGCAATATTAATTAGTGGTCTCTGAGGTTTATTTCCGTATAACTAGTTGGTCTTTCTGTCCATATTTTCACTTTATTCCGTTAAAATGAGTCAAAAAGTAATTAAGATGTAAGAGAATTAATTTAAAATGACAAGAATAGCCCTTTAAAAACCATATTCATCTTCTTGCTCTTAAAGAATCTTTCTATACATGTTGTTACCTTGGTCAGTCTTTGAATTTTCAATTTTTTTTTTATTTATACATTATTAGTTTATTTGTTTAATGGATTTTGTCATTTGTTTAGTCTTTGTTATTTTATTTTTCTCATCCTTCTTTCTTTCTCTAATTTGCCCATTTGGGTCTTCTTTACTTTAGGTTTGTTTTTGTTTTTTATTTTTTCCATCTCTGTTGGCCCTTGGTGCTTCACAATTTTCTTTTTTTTTTTTTTTTTTCCTTTTCCTTTTGTTTAGTCTTTGTTATTTTATTTTTCTCATCCTTCTTTCTTTCTCTAATTTGCCCATTTGGGTCTTCTTTACTTTAGGTTTGTTTTTGTTTTTTATTTTTTCCATCTCTGTTGGCCCTTGGTGCTTCACAATTTTCTTTTTTTTTTTTTTTTTTCCTTTTCCTTTTTAGGTTTGTTTTTTTGTTTTTTATTTTTTCCATTTTCCCCTCTGGTTGGCCCTTGTGCTTTCACAATTTTCTTTTTTTTTTTCTTTTTTTTCCTTTTCCTTTTTGTCTTTGATGCTGTGATTGAGGCTTATTGGTAAGGGATAAAGGAGGGCAGTTGGTATGAGAGCTAATTAAGGAGCTTGGTTTCAGAAAATTGTGTGAGTGGGCAAAGCAAGTGAGGGGATAAGAACTATAAAAGTAAAATCAAATCTAAATGCAGAGAGAATTACAGTTGAGGATGAAGGATGTGGAGAAGAAAGACATTTTTTTTTTTTTTTTTCCTTTTCCTTTTTGTCTTGATGCTGTGATTGGTATGGTAAGGATAAAGGAGGCAGAGGTATGAGCTAATTAAGGAGCTTGGTTTCAGAAATTGTGGAGTGGCAAAGCAAGTGAGGGATAAGAATATAAAAGTAAATCAAATAAATGAGAGAGAATTACAGTTGAGGATGAGAGGATGGAGAAGAAGACATGGGTTGATGGTGAGAGAGAAGTGAGAGAAAGTGGAGTCACTGGAGGAGAAAGAGCATTGGGGCTGAGGATAAATTTATCAATCTATGCAGAGTAAAGATAAAGCAAGAACTTGTAATAGTGCAGTTACTTAGTGCTTTTGTAATTAGTTAAATTAATTTACGTAATATAGAAATACAATTTTATGTATGCTGACTAGGACAGAATTAGTTATAGGCCCAACTAAGAGACTTTGCTCTTGCAAAGACTGTATATACAGATTTTGAAAAGGAATGAAGATTATCGATTCTCATTCTCCTCATTTATTTGTTTTCTTTTCTCTAAACTTGTGACATGGTATCATAGCATTAACCAAGTTTTCAAGAGACGGTTGCTTTATTGTTCATCTTCAGCTTTCTTTTGTTAATCGACAATGATGAATTCACCCGTTACACCAAATTCTGGTCTTTCTCCTTCATTGACGTCTCATCCATTGGAAAATACTAATTCTCCTTATTATCTACATCACTCAGAGAATCATGGTTCTGTTATTGTAACTCTAGAGCTCACGTCGAGCAATTTTGTGACCTGACGTCGTTCTTTTCTTCTCACTGTTTCAATTCGAAACAAGTTAGGATTTCTTGATGTATCGATTCCTAAGCCAGAGCCTTCTGATCCTTTATATTTGTCATGGATTCGTTGCAATAATTTGGTTGTGGCTTGGCTCCTTCGATCAATTTCATTTCAAATCGCATCTACAGTGTTTTATCTTGAAGAGGCAAAGCAGATTTGGAACAAGTTGCATCGGCGATTCCCACAGCCTGATGATGCTAGGGTTTATCAATTGCAACATCAGTTGTGTAACACTACTCAAGGAACAAAGTCCATAGATGCTTATTTTACAAAACTGACAACAATTTGGGAGGAATTACGAATTTATCGGCCTTTGCCTCATTGTACCTGTGGAAATTTTTAGAAATTTATGGAATCACAGCAAAAGGATTAAGTCTTCCAATTTCTTAATGGTTTAAATGAAACTTTTCAAGGAGTTCAATCTCAAATAATCATGATGAAACCGTTCCCTTCTCTGGATCAAGCTTATAACCTAGTTTTACAAGAAGAAAGGCAACGATCTCTTATGCTTCAAACACATTCTTTTCACGAATCTTCTGTTTTAGCAGTTACTCGAGATAAAAACAAAGCTGATATGGTATGTTATCACTATGGAAAACATGGCCATATCAAGGCAAATTGTTTCAAACTTATAAGTTTTCCTCCTGATTTCAAATTTACTAAGCCAAGGAATTTGTCCCAAACTCGTGTTTCTTCACAAACACAGTTAAGGTTTCCAAGGCAATTATCTAGAACTGCTGGTGTTAACTCAGTCACAGCTCAATCCTTGGATTCTGTTAAGGAAGTTGCTGTTACTTCTGTTGGAGCTACTTCTGAGCATCTTTCTGGTATTACGCTTTCTAAGGATCGAGTTCAGTGGCTTATGACTCTTTTAGATGATCAGTCCATCATTTCCTCTTTCACTCCTCTGTTGAAATCTAATTCAATTCCTTCATCTAATGGTGCTCAAGTCAATCTTGTAGGTATTCACTTTACTGTTTTCTCTGCTCTTTCTGCATTTGTTTTTCATTGTTTGCAAAATTCTAGATGTGATCAGTCACCTTGGATCATCAATACAGGTGCCACTGATCATATCATCTGTCATTGGTCATTTTTTGTGCATTCATTTCCATTATAAAATTCTTATGTTAGATTACCAAATGGTATACGTGTGCAAGTTACAGCCATAGGAACTGTGAATTTAAATGAGAATTTTATCCTTGAGAATGTTCTTATAGTGCCTACTTTCACTTTCAATCTTATCTCAGTGAGTAAACTTACTGCTACGAATCTTTTGTGCTTTGTTATCCTTTCTATTACTGTTTTACCTAGGTCCTTTCATCATGGATAACGATTGGACTAGCTAAAATGGAAGATGGTTTGTTTGTCCTACAACCTGCTTATATTTTTCCTAAGTTTGTCACTTCTGTTAATTTCGTTTCTTCATACTCTGCTGTTTCTTTTGAAGTTTGGCATCACAGATTAGGACATTTAGTAGATGATAGAATAAGATATTTGCAGCCTTTACTTTCTACTCCTTGTAAACACTCTCTTATTCCTTATGAGACATGTCCTAGAGCTGAAATGAAAAGTTACCCTTTCCATATAATGGTGGTATATCAAACAATCCATTTGATATTGTACATATGGATATTTGGGGTCCATATTCCCAAAAGGACATTAATGGAAACCATTATTTCTTAACAATTGTGGATGATCATACTTGATGTGTTTGGGTTTTTCTTATGAAGCACAAAAGTGAAGTGTCATTTTTAGTTCCTAAAATTTGTAAATATGTACAAACTCAGTTTCATACTCTTATCAAAACCATTAGAAGTGACAATGGTACTGAATTCCTTTTACATTCAGTTTTGCTTCTTCTGGTATTGTGCATCAATCCACTTGTGTTTACACCCCTCAACAAAATGGGTGGTCGAAAGAAAACACTAACACATTCTAAATGTGGCTAGGGCACTCTTATTTCACTCTAGCTTACCTCTTCCTTTTTGGGGTCATGTTGTTCTCACTTCCATCTACAGCATTAATAGAGTTCTTCTCTCTAAACTGAACAAAAAATCTCCTTTTGAAATGCTTTTTCACAAAACTCCATCATACACTCAATTGAGAGCTTTTGGTTGCTTGTGTTTTGCATCTAATCTTGTTTCTCATAGGACTAACTTTGACACCAGAGCTTGAAAATCCAATTTTATTGGATATCCACCTGGGGTTGAGGGATATGTTTTGTATGATCTAGATACCAAAACCACTTTTATCTTTAAGGATGTCATTTTTCATGAAACCATTTTCCCTTCTAAACATTCTACGTCAACATCTCATACTACCACTACTTTGCCTTTACCTTCACCTCCTTCCTTTTGTCCTTCTTTTCCTTCCTCTGATATTGAGTCACCAACAAATTTTAATGTTTCTCTAAATGTGTCTGCTCCTCTTCCTAATTCTAATGTACCAGACTCTCCTTCTTCTTCTTCTAATTCTCCTTCTGTTTCTCCTTCTTCTATAGTTCCTTCCTTGTCTAATCCTATTCCTGTTTTAAGAAGGAGTTCTAGATCTTATAAGGTACCTCCTTACCTTAATGATTATCACCTTGCATATCTTCCTCATTCACATGCATGTGTCACTTCTCCTCCCATTCAACATTTTCTTCTTATAATCAGTTATCTACATCTTATCATTCTTTTGTCAATCTTATATTCTTCTGTTTCTGTGCCCATATCTTATCAACAACCTATCTTGGATGATCATTGGGAAGAAGCTATGAACCTTGAACTTGCTGCCTAGAAGACAATAATACTTGGATTGTTACTCAATTGCCTCCAAATGTTAAAGCTGTTGGGTGTAAATGGGTTTACAAACTCAATTTCTGTGCCACCATAATTCTTGATACAAAAAACCCTTCATCGAAAATCGTAAACAACATAAACGACCCATATCTTGGATGATGCATTGCGAAGAAGCTATGAACCTTGAACTGTTGCTGCCATCCTAGAAGACAATAATACTAGGATTGCTTACTCAATTTGCCTCCAAATGTTAAAGACTGTTTAAGAAGCTATGAACCTTGAACTTGCTGCCTAGAAGACAATAATACTTGGATTGTTACTCAATTGCCTCCAAATGTTAAAGCTGTTGGGTGTAAATGGGTTTACAAACTCAAGTTCAAAGCAGATGGTACAATTGATAAATACAAAGCTGGGTCACTTCTCCTTCCATTCAACATTTTCTTCTTATAATCAATTATCTACATCTTATCATTCTTTTGTCAATCTTATATTCTTCTGCTTCTGTGCCCATATCTTATCAACAACCTATCTTGGATGATCATTGGGAAGAAGCTATGAACCTTGAACTTGCTGCCCTAGAAGACAATAATACTTGGATTGTTACTCAATTGCCTCCAAATGTTAAAGCTGTTGGGTGTAAATGGGTTTACAAACTCAAGTTCAAAGCAGATGGTACAATTGATAAATACAAAGCTGGGTTAGTGGCTAAGGGGTATACCCAAAAACCCGATTTTGATTATCAAGAGACTTTTAGTCCTGTGGCCAAGCATACCACAGTTAGAGTTTTCTTATCACTTGCTGTTATTTTTGATTGGCACATTTTTCAGTTGGACATCAACAATGCATTTCTCAATGGAGACTTACTTGAAGAAGTTTATATAGATCTTCCTCCGAGTTATGTGCCTAAGGGGGAGTATGGTTGTGGTTCAAAGGTGTAGATTTCAAAAGTCTCTATATGGTTTGAAACAAGCCTCTAGGCAATGGAATATTAAGTTTACTGACAGTTTACCATAATAAGGTTTTACTCAATCTAAGTCTGATTATTCTTTGTTCACCAAAGTTTTAGATTCTGGTCTCATAGCGCTGCTTGTGTATGTTGATGACATTATAATTGGCAGCAGTAGTAAAGATTTGGTAGATCAAATGAAGTCGAGGTTGTAGACTTAATTCAAATTAAAAGGCTTGGGAGACCTTTATTATTTTCTTGGACTTGAACTTGCAAGATCTAGTAAAAGGTATCATTCTCTCTCAAAGAAAATATTGATAACTTGCAAATCCAATTTTCTTTTATTGTTATATTTGTGTTAATTTGGTGTCATTTTGTGCTTAAAAGAGTGGTTTAACTTGATTTATTGTTTTTATGTGTGGTTAAATTTGTAGTCATATTTGTAGCTTAAAAGGCAGTGATTTTAAACTATGCATGTTATTGTTTTTTATGCTAGGAGAAAAGTTGGCGCATTTGCATAGATGAATGAACGCAAAAAGGGAGCACAATATGAAATGTTTTGGAGCCAAGCGAAGGAGCTGCTTGAATTTTGGAACACAAATGCAAGCCTGTTTGATGGCTCTTAGCCTGGGGCATAGTCTAAGAAGCAAGAAATCAGGACAGTGCGCACCCGATTTTGTGACGTTATTGGCTAGGAATCGACGACCTTCTTGTCAACTAATTCTTAGCAGCGTTTTACAGCCACCATGATGATATTTAGACCACAGCTTTTTAAGTGCGTATTTTTATTGTATTTAGATGGACCCCACGCTTCTAGGGCATTTAGAGTTGAAATTAGTCTTTTTGTGGGATCATCTTTCGCCTCCCCTTGGGTCTGCGACGCAATTTGACAGGAATTTTTGAGAGTATTTCTGCCTATGAACTTTCAATGTACTTGTGAGCGGATGTTTTCTGCCGATAGCCATGTGCTGGCTAAACGCTTCTAATATTTATGTTTTCAGTTTAAGGCTAAACCCAAGCGTAGAAAGCGTTTGATTCATCGATTGTGAGGATTGTATATTGAACTAAATATTGAATTTCTTTAATTCTATTGCCCATTTTTGTATATTTTTTCTGTGATTCTATGGGAAAATTATCATCCCTAGCGAAATTTTATTGAATGCAGTTAACAGGGCCCGTTATATTGTTTGTAGAAATTTTCCGTTTGGTAGAAATTTCCATAGCTATTCGGCATAATCAAATCCGTAATTGTTTGGTTAGGTTGATGCAGTAGTAATTAATATAACGTAATTGGGTAGAACACTTTTTAGGTTGCATTAAGAAAGAATATAATCAGATTTAAACGGATGCTCGTAGTTTCTGTTAATCTGGGCAAGGTTCTATTAGATTTTAAAGCGGTTAACAGTTAAATCCTTCGTCGTACTTAGGATTGCTAGTTAATTAGGGTTTGTTATTAGATCGTATCTTAGCAACCTATTCCTACGGTAGAATTGGTTGGGTTAACGTTCTTTCTGGCTATAACTTGTCTGTAATATGAATTAAGGAATTAATCTTGAATCAATGATCACTCGAATCAAATCTTCGAACCGCGGTATGCCTTGCAAATCTTCGAACCCGCGGTATGCCTTGCGCTTGATTTTTACTATCAATTGTCCAGGCTTGCAATTTTTTAATTTGATTGACATTGTATTTCTTTTGATAGCTAATTTAATTCTGTTCTAGTCGATTTATTAAAATTTCCCCGCTTTCAAAATATCTCATTTTTTTTTCTTCAGTTCAGTGTTATTTCGACAAAGCTAATCCCTAGGGGTTCGCACCCTTCTTCACCGATATTTGAACCAAGGTTTTATTTTGGTAGGGAAAGCAGGTTAATTTATTTTTGGCGCGAAATTTTGACGCCCGTCAAAATTTGTGGCGCCGCTCTGCCGGGGGATTAGTTAAACTTGTTACTGGTTTGCTTTGGTCTTTTTGAATGGACCAGGTCTGAAAATTTTGCCCAATATTATTTGATCCTGCAGATAGGCGAGAAACAGGCCCCGCCGCTACACTAAGCGAGACAAGCGAAGGAGAGAAAGTGGCAAAGTAACCGTACATCCGATTTCCGGAACTGAAACCCGCGAAATGGCCTTACATCCAGCAGGCTCGTGTCACCATTGAAATTTCAATACAGCTGAAACCGAAGAATGAAAGTCTTTGCAGCAGGAAGATATTCTTTACAGAAATATGGACCAAGAGAAGTTATGGCCGAAAACCGCACCTGTTCGAGCAGCTACAGGGACTGCCCCTGCTAGGTACAAGCAGCAGGCCTATGTGTATTAACTCTACCGGTAGTTGATAGTGCCATATTGAGCTTGAAATCAGCGGTACTTATTCATTCAACTTGCCGACTTCCATGGAATAAGACCGCAAAACCCGCATAAATTCACTTTTGAAGGGAATTCCATGGAGTTTTTCTTAGTATGAGACCGCAGGGGGTAACTGTAAGAGCAAATTAAAGGATGAGGGCGATTCCCTTCTCACGTTAAAGATAGGCTGCTAAGGAGAGTGGTTGCTTAAATCTACCTTCCAGGTTCCATCACATAGGCCTGCATAGGTGCTCGCCGAGCATTCTTGCGACAGGTATTTTCCCGCTTCGTCGTAGCGGACAGCCCATTCAGACCGAAAGAGAATTTGGTGGGGGTAGAAAAAAAAGTGCTCTGAGAGAGAGTGCTATATGATCCTACTTCGTGAGAGATTACAAAGAAGTTCATTGTTGTCTATGTCTCTGTCTCTCGTCTAACTATTTTGTGGATGTATGTTGAGCAGATCTCCAATATAGTTATCTTTTTTTATGTAAGTTGTCTATTTATTATGTTCTATCTATATGGAAAGGAATGTATGTAGGTTGACTTGTCTATTCTAGTTGTTCTTATTGCGGGCGGGGACACTTCTTAATTATATACCCCATTTCCAGTCAAAGAGATTACCATCCCCATGGGCCTGCCAATTCACAACAATCTTTGGCCAAGTGAAGAACCCTCGTAGGAACCCTATATCAGGGTATGTGAGTTCTTCCATTTCAGTCTCACACTGAAACGAACTAACCTCTATTGTTAAATCTTATTATGCTTGCCAGAGGCAACCTGTGATAAGAGGAAGTGGTCCATTGTAGCGGGCGTATGTTGCCAGCGATCACCAACGTTGACACATGTCCATCATAGGGTATGGTGATCAGAGGCAAGTTAACGGCTATGGGAGGATTATTCCGGGCAGCCCCATAAGAGCGATGCGGGTAACACTTTCAGATAAGATGCTTGGAAGAATATCATCCTAATCTAGCATATGAAGAATCATCCTAATCTTAGCTATGGAAGCAACAACCAAAATTTCCAAGGATACCAACCAGCTAGACCACCTCCTCAACAAGCTCCTCCCCCAAAAATACCATTGGAAGATATTGTGAGGTCACTTGCCACTTCTCAACAAGAATTCCAGCAAGAAACAAGAAAGGGAACACAGAATATGGAACAACAAATTAGTCAACTTGCATCTTCCTTGAGTAGATTGGAAACACAAGGGAGGCTTCCTTCCCAAACGGTGGTAAACCCAAGGGAAAATGCAAGTGGCTTCCTTCCCAAACGGTGGTAAACCCAAGGGAAAATGCAAGTGCGATCACTTTGAGGAGTGGTAAAGAGCTAAACACAGCAGCCCCTAAAAAAGGCAGCAGGAGTTCTAAGGAAGAAGCTGAAAAGGAGGTAGAAATTCACCGAAATAGGCCTTTCGAATAGGCTGAAGTACGGCAGCCCCAAACCTTTACTGTTCAGCCTCCTTTTCCCGAGAGATTGGCTAAAACAAGGAAGGAAAGTGAAGAGAAAGACATTTTGGAGACCTTTCGCAAGGTGGAGGTGAATATTCCATTGTTGGATGCTATTACCCAAGTACGTAAAGTTTCTCAAGGAACTTTGTACCAATAAAAGGAAGGTAGATAGTGTTGAGAAGGTGGAGATGGGTGAAGTTTGCTCTGCCATGATTCAAAGGAAGAGACTCCCATCAAAGTGTAAAGATTGAGGTAT